AAAGTGACAGCAAACTTTTTCCCTTAAAAAGGGATTAGAGTTATGATCCATTAATTAGAAACAATAACATGATTTCAATCTATGATAAATTTTTATGTGATAATTACAGCAAGACCAATTTACTTTGATGGCTAATTGTCATAGAACATAGGGGTTATAAACTGTGCTGCATAACACAGCACACTTTAATTCACTATGGTTAAGACAGAACAAAGCAGAGAGTAAACTCTAAATAAGTAATTTGATGAAAATGCTGAATATTACAAAATCAATTAAAACAGTATTATGCTTTGTCCTGTTAATACATTTAGTAAATGCCATGAAGTTTATTAAATTTGGGAAGCTGCTTTATTCTTTCATAATGTCCAAAGATATTAACTGAATTAAGCAAATCATAAAACAGATGTACTCTAAAATCCTGTGTAGGCCAATCCAACTTGATAATCAAACTTTTTACCATTTCAAAGAAAATGTTACTTAAAGTTATTCCTGCCTGACTCTAGTTCATTCTGGTTATCATTCTAATATTCAGACATAATCTTGTAGGAAAAAACAAAATTACAATGTAGCTTCACAAACAGAATCATAAGACTACATTCATCTGTCTTTTTCATTGTGTTATTGATAACATTAAATGAGCTAATACCTCCCAATATGTCTGATACATTTTATCCATATTGTGGGCACAATAATCAAATATTTAGATGCATGGACATTTCCTTCAAATTTATCACCAATATTTGGCAGTATTCAGTCCAAGAAACTAGATATTATTATCATAAATGAATGAAAACTTTTTCAAAATAGCGAGAGTAGGAAGCAAATAAAATTCTGTAAAAGTGGAGTTATAGAAGGTAATATTGATGCTTAAATTTTCAGTTACAATTTTACCTATTGAAGATATTTCTTTTTCATTTTCAGTTATAATTACACGATATATAATACTAAAGAAGAATATAGACTTGTGTCACTGACAAAAGTGAGCATGCTTGAGGAAGTCGAGTTTTATTATATATATAAACTGTTATAATCAATAAGCAATCACTTTCCTCACTTAAACAAAATTTCCCTTAAATGTATTTTTTCTCATTAATAGTTCAATTCTCATCATGAACTAACAAATCATCTCCTATGAATAACACTTTGTTGTCTACTAGTGTTAAGATACTGGGCAAAACATTTCACTTCAGGGCTGCAGATAAGAAAATATGTACAATGCTCATTGGTGCATTTTAAACTATAGGTCACGACCCCATTATGTGTCATTTCAATATTCTTAGAAAATGAAATGGAACTGACTCAATTTTGAACTGAAAATAGAGGACAAGACATACAGTAAAGCCAGCTTGCAAATTTGCAGTTTCAATGCAAATGCATGTGACAATATCAAACGCATTCCTTCATTCTTTGGCAAAAAGTCTGACTATTATTGTTCTAAAGAATCATCAGTCTGTTCTATCTCTAAAATGAAATCTCTCTTTTCCAGTTTATAAATTTGAAAATGACTTCTTTTAACCTAGTGTCATGTGACTTACTGCCTGATAAACAGTAGCTAGCTACAAGTACATTTAAAGTGATTAGAACATATTTACTCTATAACTTAGTTGTAACCACTAAAATTCATTGCAAGTGTGTAAAAGACACCTCACTGGGCTATTCTATGGAACTTAAGTTTCCTCAAAAAAAAAAAATCAACAAAACATTAAATAGCAACAATTTAATGCAAGTGTTAAGTGCTTCTTGTATGTAACATACTGTGCATGGTCCCTGCATTCATTAAGTTTATAATTTTTAGGAAAGTAGTAGGCACGAAAACATCTTATCCTTAATCAAGCAAGAGTTCCATGTGTATTATTATGAAATATTATCCTTAATATTTACTTATTCAAGCCATCATTCACTCATTCAACAAACATTACTATGTGCTAGGTATTTTTACAGGCTAAATGTTACAAAGTTAAAATGACAAAATCCATTCTCTCAAGTTTATAGAGTAGTGGAAAACACAGAATGTAAGCAAGTAAACAAAAAGAGAAAACTACCAAACAGTGATGACTGTTATCATGATGATAGGCATTAACTAGGGACTATTTTTTATTGGATGGTCAAGAAAGGCCTCTTTACTGATGTATTTAAAAGTAAGATATGAGTAACAAAAGGAAGACAGTCACTCAAGGCTTTAAAGAGGAACAATCTAGGAGAATGGAACAACTGGGCAAATGCCAGATCCAAGACAGATAGGATCTTGGTATGTTTAAAGAATTAGTACTAGATGAGAATGGCTGGGGTCTTGTGAATGAATAGTAGGTGGCATAAGAGAGATAAACGCAAGCTAGATGGAATAAAACTCTATAAACCATTGTAAGCTTTTGGAGCTTACAATTTGTACCCATAATTTTATGGGTACAAGGAGCCATATGTTGACTTTAAGCAAGGGATTTCTGTGGTCTGATTTTTGAAAATGACCAGTATAGCTACTGTATATAAGTTACATTTTACATACCAAAAATAAAACAAAATTGATTAGGAGATGTCAGTCATTCAGGCAAGAGTTGATTGAGGCTTAGATTAAGGCAGAAGCAGTAGAAATGAAAAGGAGATTTGAGGAATGTTTTAGAAGTCAAATATTGAATTTGCTGATAGAGGGAATGTGGGGAAGGATAGTAAAGACAGGAATCAAGGCCACTTCCTACAATATTAGCTTGTACAATTAGGTGGATGGTTTCATCATTTGTGATAGGGAAGAGCAAAGTGGGAGTGAGATAGGTGGTAGCAGAAACCCAGAGATCTGCTTGGGATGTAACTTTGAGGTGCATAATAGCTAGTTAGATAAGGGAACATGCCAAGTAAACAGAACGGGGTTTCAGGAAGAATTAGGAACTTGGGAGTCATTAGCATATAATAGTATTTAGAGACATAGGACTGGTACCAATGTGAGTAACACACGAGTGCTTTAGCTCAAGTATCTCTTTAGTCTTCAAAAAAGTCAAGGTAGGTATTTTCTTTTCATAGAAATATTCTTGGCTTTTTACATGAGCATCTCTGATGCTTAAGAGAAATACACAGGCTGAAAAATCACCCCACTATTAAATGATGAGGTCTGAATTCCCTTTTCACCAGATTGTTTTATTAGACCACTAGGAGAACATGAATTTCTGTGAGTGGAGCATTTTTTAATTTTTTGAATGGAGAAGTTTTAAAAAGTCTGTTCACTCTTGAGAGAACAAAATTCATTGAGAATCTAATCCAAGTCCATAAATCCCCTTTTCTGTCCTTAAATGACTTCTGTGTGGCAGATGTGGCAGATGTGGCAATGTGGCTGCCAGGTGCTGGGAAGATGTTGGTCAAAGGGGACCAACTTGTGGTTATAAGATGAATACTTCTGGGAATTTAATTAAAGCATAGAGATTATAATGCACACTGGATGTATACTGGAACTTTGTTAATAGATACTGTTCCCTAACCCCCATGGTAACTATGAGAGATGAAGAATTAATTTGATAGTAGTACTTATTTAAAATGATCACTTTGTACACCTTAAATATATACAATTTTGTCAACTGTACCCCAATAAAGCTACAAAAATTACAATCTCTACTCTCTGGTTTGTGAAGTACTACTTTTTTTTTTTATTATCCCTTTCTTGCTTCTTTCTCACCAATCCTTAACTATGGCTGTTTCACAAAGATTCTTAGCCTTCTTCTCACTGTACACACCCTCCCTCTACAACCTAATATTTTCACTTTTTCAAAGACTAAGTATATGCCTACGACCCTTGATTTTTTTTTTTTTTTTTTTTTTTTTGCTTGCAGTCCAGACATTTCTCTTTAACTTTAGGAGAGCAGGTCCAAAGTTTTTTGAAGCCAATTAGGAAGATCCACCTGGAGAAGTAAATAAGAGAAGCTTAGTTTAGTCACTATGAAAGTCGTCCTTGCACCTTCATTTATTCATTCATACAATCACTCACAAAATCGCAGTGGCTGCTTTCTCTCTTTTTTTTTTTAACAGCATTTTTCCTTTATTGTGCTGGGTGGGGGTGAACTGTGGCATTTACAAAAGTTCTTACAATATGTCAAATGCATCATAGTTGAATTCACCTCCTCCACCGCTCCCTTTTATCCCCTTCCCCCATTCCTGGAATAGCATCGACAGGTATCATTTGTATATTTACAGGCATGTGTACACATTTGCCGCACTATACTCGCCCGCCACACACTTCCCCCACCTCCTCCCCGCTGGGCAGGACTTGGTCAGCCTCTCCGATTTCGTAGAAGAGGAAAGGTAAGAAAAACATGACATTTTTGCTTGTTTGAAAAAAGCTATACAGGGCGATTCTTGGGATATTTCCATGTATATATGGGTTATACCCCCAATTGGTTTATCTTCTCTAATTATCTACATTCTAGGTGGCACACAGGGGTAATTATGTACAAGATGGGCACTGACTAAGGTTACGGGTCTCAGGAGGGCATTCACGTGACGACTGGGAATCATTGGCCACAGGCACATAAGGCGCAAAGGGAGAATCCCACCTAGTCCCCCAAAGAGATTTAATGAGTTTTTCAGTTTAGTCGAATGTTAAAAAGTACGTGGCACGCGAACCCCATCAGGGAAAAAGGAAAGATGGGGACAAGTAAGGTATTAGAGCAGAATGCTGAGTTGTAGCAGATCCTGAAAACATCGATGTGAAGAAAAATGAAAAGAAAAACAGGACTGGTGGATACTAAAGATCTAACAATGGTTAAAAATCCACGCTTTAAAAACCAAACCAAACCAAACCAAACCTCACCCGGCACCGGCTCAGCCGCCCCACCAGATTGCACAAGCTCGGGACTCACGGCACACGGCCCTTCTAGCTCCGCCCCCTTCCTCCGAAAGCCCCTCCGCAGATTTGCGTGCACGTGCGCGGTTGGTACCGCCCACTCCGCTCTATCGGCCAATGAGAAATCGCTTCGTAATTCTCCACAGCCCTGTCAGATCAGCCTCTCACCCACGCAGATCACGTGCCTGCGTCTCCCCGCCCTCTCACCCTGCTTCCTGTACATCCTGGGAAGATGGCGAAGGTCTCGGAGCTTTACGATGTCACTTGGGAAGGTAATTTCGGGCGGGGCGGGTGCAGAAAGACCCACAGGGACACGGTTCGGAAGTACCCACTTCCACCGGAGAGCTGGGTTCTGTGGTCTGCCTTCGGCGTCCGAGCTCTCCCTGGACGGGCCAAGCCGCGGTGAAATGAAGGCTGAGTTTTTTCCATCGTCCGGGTCACGAACTGCGGGATTGCCTTTCTCGTCCAATCTTCAATAGACTGACCGACTTGCTTTTTCCCACGGCACTCTAGCGGCCATAGAACCTTACATCTGTGAGGCAGGAGGGACAAGGGGTTAGGACTGTCACACTCTCCATGTGGTTGTTAGGAGGTGCGGAGGAGGCGGAATTGGTGGCTGTTGAAGCTTTGAGGCCAAGAAATACAGGGCCTCTGAGGCCTGTGCTAAGTGTGTGGAGGGGATACGGGTCTGTGGAATAAGGGTGTGTAGATTTCGTGTACGAATCTGATTCTTCTACATAAACTACCTTTATTTCTCTTCGAAACCGGGTTTCTAATTTGTGTTCTTTTTATTCCCTGCCCCACACCCCCCAAAGCCTTTTTACACACAGAACACCATTTCGTACTTTCTTTGAGATTTTTCCTTTCTCAAAAACTTGTGGGAGGCATGCTTAAGACAAACATGAGTTTGATTAAAGTATGGAATTTGTGTCGTTGAAATTCATATATCCTGCATTTAGCACATTACGGCATATTTCAGTAGATAATTTGCCCAGTGAATGCCAAACAATAAATGGGATGTTTGTTGTTTGATTATGAATAAGTCAAGTATTATAAAGTTGCAAACATGTAAGAGTTGTTTTACAGTTCTACTGGGCTTGATAATATATTGGCTTTAAGGGCATTAGCACAATATAAACATTGTTTTTTTCCTACTTGTATTAGGGAAATCCATTATATTAAACAAAACTCTTAAGTGCATAGTACTAAATCTTACATAAGTTAAGTAAGATAGGGTCCCTACCTTCAAAGAGTTTATGGTCTAATGCAAAAGACGCACTTATAAGTACCTAAGTTTTAAAAGTCCTGTGTTACAATATATGTGTACATTGCTATTTTAATGCTTTTTAAAACATGTTTAAATATTTTGTAATTTTAAAAAATTGATATTATAAAGGTATGTTCAGTATAGCTTTTTTAGGTGTTAGCTTGAATATAGTTTTGAAGGACAAGTAGGTATGCAACTACCTACATAGTAGTTTGGACCTTACCCTGTGGACAGTCTAAGGAGCAGTGATGTAATTAGATTTGGAATAATAAGTAATAACTGCTTCACAAGTTGGTTGAGGAACAAAAGAGAAAACATATGTTAGTGTTTGGTAAACTGTTCAGTACTAGGTAAAAAGTTGTGTTATTCATTAATATTATTATGTCCCTCTCCTGTAAGATCCTGTTTTATGTTGAGCCATTCTGTCCCTCACTGTATGAGCTGACTATGCTGGCCTTTGTTGAATTCCCTAAATTGCCATGCTCCTTTTTTGTCTTAAGGGTGGAAACAGGCCGTTCTTTTCATCAGGAGTGCTCTTCCCTTTTGGCCTCACTCTTGTGTGCCACCCGCCCCCCCTTTGTATCATCTGAATTCCCCTCAAAGGTCATGTACTGCATACACCCTTCCTTCACCAACCAGCTTTCCCATCCCTTCACCAAAATTTTAAATAGAAAGAAAAAAGTCCCAAACAACAAAATCAAACAAAACCCATCCCTGGATTATATATTTTCATACTGTTGAATCACTTATCCAGTTGTGCTAAGTTTCAAATTTTTGGCTCTTCCAGAATGAAAGGGACCAGGCCTAATTTTGTTCATTGTCACATCATTAGTGCTTGACACATGGGAGGAACTCAGTGATTATTTATTGATTGAGTGAAATGTTATCGCTATTAATAATAAGCACTAACAAATTTTCAGAAATTATAATTTTTCTAGTATTGGAATCATTTCTTTAGTTTTTTTTGGTGAATTTAGGCAACTAATAGAATGCAGTTTACTTATTTTTAAAATAAATGTTTAGACCTTTCAAGAATTAAAATTTTTTAAGGGAATTTTATAAAAGGGTATTCTAGACTTATTTTAGAGATCTGTGATAACAGATTTTAAGGATATGGAAGGGTATTAGGAGAACTCTGAGATTAGTGTTTTGTTTAGCCTTGTTAGACAAGGGCAGGAAGCAGTGTCAGAGCTGTGTCTTTAGGAATTCCATTGACTAGCATACTGAATAGGTTAGTTCAAAGAGTAGTGTAATTCTTGTGATAGGAAAATGTATCACCTATTTATAAAAGACCTGTCTAGCAAGTCTTAACATTGGCCAACTCTCAACTAGGCTCTATAAATAAAAATGTTGAATATATAATTTATTCAGCCAGTTCAAAGCATCTGTTACATATGGGCTTTATTACTTAGTTTGGAGGTGGGAAAGAAAATGTAGAATTTTAAGGCCAGTAGTCAAGTTTCTTTGAATACGCATTTAGGCAGGATTGAATAACATTTGATGCTTGGGAGGAACACAGTGATTATTTATTGACTGAGTGAATTTTTGAATAGTATTATTAATAAATACTGCACAATGCCTGGCATTTGATGGACATTAAGTGAGTGTTTAAAAATTTAACATGTGAGAGAATTTTAGTTGTTTATGATCACTATCTGTACTTCCTCTTTTCTTATTTAGTCCCTCAAGCAACCAGTTTGTTTTTCATGTCCTACTTCCCCTCTAAGGTCTCTAGGAAGACCTAATGTCAGTTCAAATGTTTGTATTTTGTATCTGTACTATATTTACTATTATAGATAACACTTTGTATAAGAGGTTCTTTTCTTTGTTTCTTAGTAATGTTCTTCCAGGTTTTTTTCAGTATTTTTCAGACCTTGCCATTGCTGAGTTCTCTATATCTACTTGCTACTTACTTTTTCCTAATCCCAAGATCCTTTCCTTCTTAATATATTATAAGCAGTTATTAAACCTGAGAGCAGTAGATTCCTGATTGTGTTAAATGGTTCATGAAGTTAAGTGCAAAATTGAGTGTGTATTATACATACAAATGTATATGAACATATGCATATTTCTGAGAAAAGATGATTCAAAGATCTCATCAGCTTTGAAGAAACCTAAAAAAGATTGTGTTCTGTGGGCAGTCTTATCCTCACCCAAGTTTAAATATCAGCCCATATGCTAAATTACACTAATTGAACATTAAGTTCAAGACTGAACTGGATATTTCACAATATAGCTCAAGACTGAACTCATCTTTTTTCTGCTTACTGTTTCCAAACAGTACCAGCTGTCACCACTTATCATTTTTATTTTCCCTAGAAAAATGTATAGCACCATTATCTGTCCCTGTCCACAAGGCATCTTTTTTTTTTTTTTGGTGGTTCTGGCAGTTGAGCTCAGGGTTTTACACTTGAAAAGCAGGTGTTCTACCTACTTGAGCTACTCCACCAGCCCTTTATACATTGGTTATTTTTGAGATAGGCTCTTGCTTTAGGCCTAGTTTAGCCTGGAACCAATCCTTCTATTTGTGCTTCCTTGCATATCTAGGATGTCAGGCATGTGCCATCTTCCCAGCCTTTGGTTGAGATGGGGGTCACACTCACTTTTTGCTTGGTTGGCCTTATGCAATCTTCCTGATCTCTGTGCTCTTCCTTTAATATATAAACCTGTTCTTGGAAATTATGCTTTAAAGAAGTGCATCCTCTTTTCCTACAACAGTGTATTTTCATAGCACACTAAGAAATAATGCTTACAAATTAATTTGCACTCAAGAATATTAATACATATGCATGAATGTCTGTGTATAAATTGAAACTAAAAATTCACTTAAAAAAGTATGATTACTTCTAGTTATTGTATTTTATTTCATTTCTACCACCAAATGCTAGAAGAAATACACTAAATTGATTTCATCTCCCACTAATGGGTTGTAGTATAGTTGGAAAAACACTCGTGTTGGAGTTCTCTGTACATTAAAATAAATTAACTCTTCTCTCAAATTAAATGACTCTTTCCCCCCAAAATAGCTATTTCCTACATCCTATAACAGTCTGACTAGAAAAATTTATGGGGCTATGAATAATTTAAAATATACTGTCCCACAGGTATCATACTACTTTTAAAAGGAGTATGCTGGTTCATGTAAATGAATCTGTAAGTATTTTTTTTCTTTTCAGTATTTATATCAAAGTGAAGTGGAGAAAATAAAGGCGTGGAGGAAAGAATTTTGGACTAAAGATATTAGCAGAGTAAGGAGAAAGCATGTTTTTCTATCTTTCAGAGGCCAGCTGTTTTCCCAGTGACATCTAGTCCTCAGGGAAGGAATAAACAAAATAAGCATCGCGCTCTCAACCTTTGGTCTTTAGATCATCCCACAAGGCTTACACAGTAGTTAATAAAATGTGTAAGCAAGCAATGAGCAGCTTACTTACCCAGTATAAGAATGACCTTGGCTTTGAGGAGCATGCCTTTTTGTGGGGACTTAGGGTAAAATGAAAAGTTTTAAACCATTTTTGAGGCAGGGGTGCCAGAGGCCGAAACAGTTACCAGTTTTAAATTTTAAAGGAAATTAAAATTTTTGTAGCATTTTACATTTTGCAAAGTGTATAAAGTATCTGAATTCTGTCTAAGCAGATGAGGAAAGTATATAAAATTAGGTGAAGTAGCTTCTATGAAGAATTGGTGAGTACATGCCCTTCCAAAAGTAATCAAAATTAGCATAAAAATAAACCAGAAGCCCTAAACTGTTGTATTGTACAAACAAGTGAGGAGTCTGTGTTTTGCTTTATGTAATTTTCATCAGAGACCTGTAATGCTTGTGATCATGTTTGCTTTATAGGGGAAGTGTTAGAATGTTAAATGATAGGTCCAAGATCACCATGCTGATACTGATTAATGGCAGAGGTGGAATTTAAATCTTGGTCCCTTAACTGTAGAATCTTTGCCCTTTCTGCTACTTAGTGGTCTAGGTGTCAGCATATCTTTTTTTCTATAAAGGACTGGATA